GTATGTCATTCTGGGCTAACTGCTGCTTTTTGCTTAGTGAGGAATTTCAGAAGAGAAAAAGGAAGGGAAGGAGGTTTTCAGTTTTTGTAGGGAGACTGTTAAAGGATGAACACAAATTTGTAGGCAAGGAGACTGAATTAGTTTTTTTGCTTGTGGAGTAAACTTTTCTGTTTCAGGTATTCCCCTCCAGGAAAAGACAGCACTGGAAAATAAACTCTGCATTCATAATAATTTGTGCCATTTGGGGCTGTCTTGGAAGACGATAATCCTTGTATTTTCACAAAGAGTAGGATCATCCCACCGAACTAGTTGTAATAAAAGCCTGCTTGAACTCATGTTAATCAAGATGAGCAAAATGCAGCCCTCACAGTAGAGGGGAATTGTGTTGTAATACAATTAATGAGGCATCTGGAGTGGAGTTACAACCAGTTTTCACTTGGTTGATAGTAGTCATACTAAAACCGCAGCCACAGTTATCCAAAAACTTATCACAAAAACACTTGCTATGCAGTGGACTGATTCTTTAATGCTGTATGTGAGGGATAGTCTGCTGAACTCTTTGCCCTGTTACAGTAACAGACCGCCTAACTTTGTATATATGATGGATACAATTTTTTCGGGTAAATTATACTTTTAATATTTACCTCTTTTATGAATCCACAGTTAGGTATAAGAGAATACTCTTCCTATTTCCTCATTAGGTCACTGCTTTCAGGGAGGAAGGCACATAACTGAAACCATCTATGATGCTTTTTCTCATTCGGGATTCTTCCCAGTGACACAACTTATTTGCCGCTTTACGATAGTAGTCACTATATACCACGTCAGCAATGCTTAAAAGGAGCTATAGACCAAGATATGGAGTCATAGTTAGTATATGCTTCCTGGGAATATATAAAAACAACTATAAATTCATTTCTATTTGCAGTGGTCTTTGTACGCTCTGGTTAATGTGTGACACATTTTACTGAACAATCATATTAACATGACTGATGGCACTTTTATTGAATCGAGTGTAGCGTAGATGAAGCTGTTTGAAAGGAATTGGAAATTCACTGACAAATGGGTTACTCTCATGATTTACATTGTAAGACACTGTTACTTTTAAAAAGGTGTTTATACCAGTGAAACACATTCTCATTACTAACAATATAGCTGCAGAGAGGGGTAAAGCTAAAACCTAAGATTTCACCACAAGAGTATATACCCTCCTCTTTTCTATGAAGCACAAACCAACATTACGTGTTAATTTTGTAGGTTCTGCTTCCAATAAGATGTGAGGATTAATTTTCTTGATCTTTAAATAATTTTAAAAGTCAACTATTTTCTCCAAAATTCTACAGGAGATTTTTTTTCAAAAATTTGAGCAATTCCTGATTTGATTTCTGAAGCTTTAGTTAGGTATCAAAAATATTCTTCAGAAACAGTTAACGTCTTTAAGGATGAAAAGAACAGTAGATAGAAAGATCTTAGACCTCCTTATAGATGATATGATTTATAACATTATATTGATGGAATTAATGAGATTTTATTATGATATTTTTTGTCTCTTCCTTAAATATCTTTTACTATCCTGTACCCTACAACTTTCTCAAAAAGGGAAAAGCAAATTTACTAGTTAAAATAAATCAGAAAAATAAATAACCTCTTCAAACTGATTAATGAGTTTCTCTCTGAAACTAACGTGTCAACCCTTGGCTTGGAGTTGATCTCAGCCAATCGTATCTGAGTAAACATATTATTAGATATTTTCCAAATTCAATTTCAAAACAGCAGAACATATCATTGAACATGGAGAAGCTTGAAAAAAAAAGAAGTGCAAAGAGATTCCAGATATTATCTGATGACTACAACATATACGGCTAGTGCAATTGAAACTTTTTCAATTAATGTGTGTATTAACGATAAAACAATGAATTTGGATTAACCAATATGTGTAACTACTGCTGAGGTGTTTGTGATACATCTATACTTTGCTCTGCTAATTGGCTAAAGAAAGAATGAGCCAGTAAAAATAGAAGTATTTAGGAAGAATGCATGAAACGTGAGAATGCATTTGCAAATATGTCAGAATAGAAATCATAAAATAATGCTTTAAAAATTCAGCATATGAAATAGTATTTTTTTCTTTTTTTCTTTTTTTCCTTTTTTTCCAGCAGTGGAAACATTATCAAAATGCCTTACCACAGATGAATTCTGTGGTAAGTTTCTACTTGGCTTCACTGAAGCTGTAATTTCACAGCAGAGATCTTGTACATTGTTTGGTCTGCTCCTGAGCTTGGTGAACAAATTAAATTCTTGAGGCATTATGTATGTAAAAGTAAAGCCAATTCCCAATTTTTTTTCAGGAAAGTATTTGTGCAAAATTATGTCAGTTGTGCTTTGTGTTAAAATTTATGCTTTCAAACAGTTTGCAGAAAGCAAGAATTAGCAGTAAATCCACCTTAACACAAAGGACAACTGACTAACCTTTCCATTGTTATGCCAAAATTGTAGAAAGTAAAGATAATTTTTAAATGGTTCCATAACCTAACAAAATTTTCCATTGGAGAAAATAAAATTATTTAAAAACAGGGATTTATTATGCATTCTAATGCATAAAACTATTGTTTTATGACTCTGTCTAGTCTGAAGATGACTTAGCTGAGAAAATGCGAAGTAATGAGATGTTGCAACAAGCCATCAACACCTATGATGAGGTGGCTAGTCTGCCAAATGTCCCTCCAGATCTGATGAAACTGAGCTTGAAACGAGAAGCAGACAGGCAGCAGTTTCTTGGTAAGATTTGAGCATGGGTTAAAAATTATGAAAGATATGTGGACAAGAGTTTAAAAGATCAATAACAACTTAAAAGTACCTTGAATTTTCAATAAGATCTGTGTTTCTAATCTCTTGAATATTTATGAAAAATCTTTAAAATTTCTTTAAAATATTACTGTTGAACTAATATTTACAATTGTTTGTATGACAACAGTGCCTGCAGACAATAGTGCACTAGGTGTTATGCGTAGCTATAGTGGAAGAAGTTCAAAAAAAGTTTATTGACAGAGAAAGGAGAATATGTACTTTTTTTTTTAACTGAAGGAAAGTTATGGGGATATTGATAGCATACCCAGTGTCTTACAGAAAACAGAGAAGAACAGAATTGAACTCAGGGGTTAATGTTTTATCTTGCAAGGTTTTCCCTCTGTTGATATTTTGGAAAGCTTTATTTTTGAAAAGAAGGTGTGTAGATAACATATAGTATAACTTAATGCACATGTAGTAAATGTATAGTAAATTTATTTGTGCAGTTTTATAAAATCTATGTGAAAGCTGTTAACATGCTGTTATGAAATTGTAATTTTAAAGTATACCTTTGTCAAGAAGAAATCGCCTATTGTTCTTACTCCTAAGCTTCTGTCAACGTTATTTGTTTAATTTACTGAATTACTGAATTTACTCAATACCAGTAGCAACAACTTTGATAGCCATTAGACCTAAGTCTAAGATAGCTATTAGGCCATTAATTCCAAAGCATCCTGCAACCCCTCAGCTAATGTTCTTGATCCTATTTTTTTTTAATGTAAATAGCCAAATGACATCCAATAGATTTCTAAAATAAAATACACAACCCACGCACATTCACTTAACAGCAGTGGCTCAATGACAGTAACACAGACCTGTATTCATTACTTTAGGGGATCATATATAGCAATCTTTTAGGGCACTGATGCAGTGGCCCTTTACATAACTTTTTCCTGTATCTCTCTGTTGCTTTTTACAAATTTGCCTGCTATACTGAGATCTGAATTTATTTTTCCTAAGCTGATTATATTCTCATTTTTTAAATTTATACCGCTGTCTTCTTTAAAGAACAATAGGGAGGCTTAGTCCTTATGATCATAGAGGTGATCTGTCCTAATCTCAATAACAAAAGTTCCAAACCCCCAAAATAAGTGCTAAATTAAGGTGAAGTAGGTCTGAGTTCTCTTTATCAAGGACTGGAAACCTGAAGTTGGAACCCTAAAAGCAAAGTACTAAAACATAGGGAAACATATGAAAATTTAGATGTACAATTCTGAGATGTACAAGAAATGTTGATTATTATATGAAATACAGCTAAGTTAAGTGGAGAAAAGAGTTCTGGCCCCATTAATTGAATTTTAAAATCAGCTTATTTTGATTTTACCGTGCTTCAGCAAGACCTTGTCTAGGAAGCCAGTGAACCATGTACATAATTTTAAGTATAGACAACATGATTATTTGCAGTGGAACTACTGCTTAACTGTAACAACCTGCTTAATAACTTCAATTAATTGATACCTACATTTATTTTAAGATATTAATCTAGTTTTGTTGAGCAATTTGACATATACAAATGAAAGAGCAATCAAAGTTTAAAAATGTATTGTTACTGCTACATTGTGAACAGTTTTCCACTAGAGGCTCCCATAACACCACATGATATGCATTCTCAGTGATTTCCTGAACTATTCCTTGTAAGACTACACCCCATGTGACAATTAAGCAGTTGAATGTTCTCCTATCTGTATAAGTCTGTTCTCAGGTTCTGCACGAGCAATGATCATTAGTGAAAGTGATATACCTGGCTGTAACTTGTATTTTCTTAGACGGTGGACTAGATAAGCATGTTATGTGAGTTATCTTATTATTGTTACTTATGTCCGTAGTTGTAACTAAGTCTTGTTCAATGAAATTAGGTCGCATGAGAGGTTCTCTGGTTACTCTACAGAAATTAGTTCATCTGTTTCCCAGTGACACTTCTTTCAAGAACGACCTTGGAGTTGGTTACCTCCTGATAGGCGATAACAGCAATGCCAAGAAAGTATATGAAGAGGTGAGCTTCCATTCCAGCTGAGAAAAAATGGCTTTACTTGCGTATGTTCATTCTACGGATGCCTATTTTTAATTTCTTAATTGTTAAGCAAGTCACGTGTCTGGTTTGATGGGTTAATACAGATAACATTTTCTTCCCCCTGCACAGTTCTTAATTATCTCTTAATTTTAATTCAGATTTCCTGATACCATCCATAATAGACATTCTTCCTCACAGAAAGAGAAATGCGTGCTTAGTAACAATTGGCTTCTTAAGACTTCTGGTAGCCAGCTTTGACATGTATTGACAACAAACGCAGACTCAATGCCCAGAGTAAAAGAAGACACTTTATCTGCAATACGTGAAAAGCAGAAATAAACCTGCTTGTTTACAGGAACACCCACTTTAAACAAGCGATAAAGTAGTTCAGCACCCACATAGATAATCATGCTTTGGCTTCTTCAGAACTTTTGTAGGCAGCCTAAACTCTATTTTTCTCTCATGATGCTTGCTTGTGCTGTAGAAAGTTCATTGGATTTGTCATCTGATACCATGGTTAGCAGCCTGGACAAAGTTCTACTGCCGGAAAGGGTCACTCTGCTCCTGTGACACAGAAACACCATTATCATCTGGGAATGCTCTCATGTTTGTGGAGCTTCACGTTACTGATAGAGCAAGAGCTGTCAGAACCTGGTCAGAGATGATCTTCTGAAGAAGCTGGCATGCTTGTTCCCATGCTTATTTAGTGCAGGATTAGTTCAGCAATTGACTGGCTCATGTAGACTGAGGATGAGAGAACATGACAAGTGCTGACTCCTGAGACTAAAGGCCCAGTTGTCAGTGCCACACATCTCAGAGTCAGAAGGGATTTGCATCTTGGGTGGTTTTGCAAAGGGACAGGACATTCAGCCACATGGCTGGAAGCAGGAACCAAAGCCAGATAATACTCTTCTTTATGCATCTCCTCTGGCCATCACAGATGTTGCCAGATGAGTGTTTGCCTTGGTACTTTGGCTACGTTTTAGGCCTGTCCATAAAACATTTCTGTTCAGTAACTTTTCCTGCGTTCTGTTAAAATTTCTCTGAGGAGTGGCAAGTCAGCTTTTAAAGGTTAGATATATTAACCAAGCTTCCTTCTCCAACTGCAAGGAACTTCAACAAATGTAAAATATACTTTTCTTGAGCAAGATTTTCCTTTGCAAATTTTCTGGATTTTGTTCCAAACAACATAGATGTTAACTTTTCTGAAAACTGTCACAAGCCTTCTTATAAATGGAAGGAAGTAATGAGTGTGCTATATAATTATTTTGATAATGAGTTTCACAAACTACAGAAAGAAAGTACACTATTCTGATCAGGAACAGATATGCCGGATAAATATTGGCCTGCTTTTAATATGTTGTTTTCCCTATTTCTACAGACTTCATCCAGTATAATTACTCCATTTTGAACTTCAATAACCAGTGAAATAGAATAGATGATGGTAATGGTCTGTCCTTATAAAAGAGCAACAAATAAATATGTTTTTAAGGAGCTAGATTTATTCTTTTTAGAAAAAATGCAGTTTTTGTCTCATATTCTGACTATTCTTCAGGCCAAGTTCTAACACATTAATGTAATTTTCTCTTTGTTGTAATTCAGGACAAATTCAGATAAAGAATTTTAAGAAAAGAAATATAGCCAGAGAAACAGACAGGAACTCATGTGCACTTGCTTTTTATTCATGGTTGTACTGAAGGTTTCTCATGTGATTCTGGGCACATCGCTTAGGGTCCATATGGTCTGCTCTGAGTGCCTGTTGCATACCTAATTAGAAAGTGATTGGCATATGATTTGGAGCTTCTACCATAGGTGCTAAGGCTCTATGCATAGACAATAAAGAGAGGGAGCAAACTATGGAGAGTGCTTCTGGGGACCTCCAGGAGACACCTTCCTCTTCCCATGACTTCAGAAAAACCTATGTGGTATGATGAACCCATTGGTAGTTCAGGACAAATCAGTCATATGATAGGAAAAGTGAGCCTAACCTCAGTGCTGCACAGTACATGCTCCATCCACTCAGTGTTTATGAGTCCTCGGTTCTAATTCAAACTGTAAGGATGGTCATACACTTTATTCGGGTGTTCTTTAGTATAAAAAACATCAACATGTAGGATGAGAGAGCAGAACCTAGGATTCATCCTCAAAAGAGCATACTGTTGTTTAATTAAAGACTCAGCTGTTTGCGTTTTTTCCCTCCAATCCCCGTCTTTTCTCCATGATCATCTAACTTGTACACAAAGGTAGAGAACTTGTCTGAGAAGCAGGAACACTCCGCTGTTCAGGAGAATCTAGACTCCAAATTTCCCATTTATTGGGAATCTACTAGATTCTTGTGCAAAGCATACCAGTGCCCTACTTTGCTTCCTGCTGCAACATTTTCCTCTAAGCTGTGTTGTCCATCTCTGTTAGGCATGGGCTGAGTGCATGTAACAGACTGGACTCCTCACAGGCACTCTCCTTGGGATTACAGTAAATACATTTCAGACCAGACTAGCTCTAGCTGGCATCATCTCTAAGGAATTGTACAGATGCACAAGGAATTTTGCAGTAGAAAATGGAGGTGGTAACTAAAGCATCCTATGATCTTAAGTCCCGAGCAGGGAGAGATCTGAATTGAGCTTAGCATCTAAACTGCTTCCAGAATCATGATATTTTGGCTTGACTGCAGTCACTAATTTTCTGCTTTTAGAGGGCGGTAAGGAAGGGCAGAAGCGGCCATTCAGAAGATTGGCTTAACACCGATAAGACAAGTTTGAACACTGTTAGCGTCGTTGGCTGTTGCAAATAAAACAATATAATATCAAAGTGAATGGACACTTTTTGCTTTTGGCTTTATAGTCAGTATATATATTTTACGTTCAATTTTTGTCATCTTTGTATAACCGGATTTAAACATTGGAAACCAACCAAATTGTTCTAAGAGGATTTTCTCACAATTTTTTTTTAGCGTCTTAGCAGCTGTTAGGCTGTTATCATGAAATTTGTATTTCAAAGTCTTAAATGTGATACGTTGTTTCTTTTAGCTGCAGAAATGATAAGCCTAAATACTGAACTTTAAAGCAAGAGAGTTTTATGTCTACAGCTGTAGTATAGTTTAATCTTGTATAAAATATAGTCTATTTTCTAGTATGTATTTACCAGAATTTCAATTTTGCCTACTATTCTTTCTTTTGAATGTTTTACTTAGGAACAGAGAAACATATTGTTAAAAGGAGTCCTGGCAGGACTATAGCTATTTTTATTTTCAAAGATATACAGGTTATGATAAAATACTGTGGAAGAGTTCTTCATCTGAAGAATAAATGATCTTATAGCACTTTTTCTACTTGCCATTCTGTCTCTGCATGGTTTAATGTGTTGTTGTACAGACACATATAAGCCAGTTCTGATTGAACTATCTCGGGTACCAGAAGCAAAATAGCCACATTAATGCAGTACTCTACCCTGGCTAATTAGCCGTAGATAGCCCTAGAGGTTGATTTCTATATTCATGATTAATATTTAATAGGCTATGAGCGGTTTAGTAAAACTTATTTCTAAATATAATTAATATTGCATGCAGCAACAGCAACAGGGTAACACAATGTACATTAAATACTTCCAGTGTAATTTCTACAGATTGCGTCTCTTCACTTCTCTTTAGGGGGCTCTGAATGTAGATCATGCCTTAATGCAAGTCACCATAGTTTAAATGGTTTAAATGAACTATGATTCGGGAAATTCTGTTCTGTCTTAATTAATCAGAAGCTTGTCCTATGTTAGAGGAACTATAACAAAATTATATGGCTATTAAATATTTCTGTCAGTCATTTTATTTGACCCTGCAGGTACAGATTCTTTGAATAAAATGATTATATATAGAATGCCAATTGCACATCGAATGCTCTAGCCAAAAATTATAAGAAAGAAGAAGGTGCCATGTTTTCTTGTATTAGCGGTCAAGCACATTGTTTCTATGAATTGTCAAGGTCACTTTTTGCTAGTTATGTGGCATGTTATAGACTCTCAACTTCACTTTTCTTTCATGGGAGCTTCTTCCTGCAAAAAGAAGTGAAATAGTACTATTTTTAACTTGTAGAATTTTACACTCACGTTGCACTGCATTTTGTGTGTAATTTGTATGTAAGGTTTGAGAAAGAAGAGAAAGTGGCCCAGAGGTCTTGTTATGGTTTTACTCGTAATTATTTTGACTGAAGAATTAGATTAGACACTGACTGGAAAAGGCGGAGGGAAATGGCTATAATGTGTTTGGGCATTTTATGCATGGCATAGATTTGGCATCAGAAATGTATTTGGAAAAAAAAAATTGCTCATCTGTCCATTTTGTTGTATTTGCTGATTGTGCTAGACACTCGACTGGTATCAGTTTCTGTAATTCCAGTGACTCCCAGGCACCTGTGCTGATCTTCACAAACTGAAAATCTTTCCTGATTGTCTGTCCACCCTTATTTTAAAGATAGAGAACATCCAACAACAGATTAGCTTGGCCACGTAATTGATATCACATAGTACTACAAATGATATTGAGCTATACATCATAGAAATGTGCAACTGGAAAGGAGATTAAGACATTCTCTAATTTTCCCCTTGACTGAAGCAGACCAAATACACTTAAATTATCCCAGTAATGTTGGGGGTACATGTTTCAGAACTCAGGCCACCTAGCTTCACACTTTCTTTGCCTGAAACACTCCACCATACAGTGATCCTCTCCTAGAGCTGTCCACAAATTGTTGCCTAGCACAGTCTCCCAGAACTATCCATCTGTGCCTAACTAAGATTTGACTTGTCTTTTGCCTGTGCATTTTCCTTTCTTGCAAAATTAACTAAGTTAGGTTATAACTCAGACACTACTTCTAAATCTTGTTCAGAATACAAAATCTTTTAGCTTAGTTTCATACACTAGGTGTTGGTCTATCACCAAGTGTAGTATTTTTGAAGCTTTAAAGTTTGGCTTATAATGGGTTATTCTGGAGAGGGACAAAAGCAAATGAGGAAAAGAAAGGGCAGCAAGACAAACATTTATCTGAGAATTAATGGTAGGATAAAATGTCATTGAATCACTGAAAAATAGCATCTGTCCAGGTCTGTTAATTTTCCCTGAACTGAACAGTCACATTTTGAAAGTAGATCCATACATTAATATGTAATTCATCTGCTGTCATATAGGTTCTAAGTCTGGCTCCAAATGATGGCTTTGCCAAAGTACATTATGGCTTCATCCTGAAGGCGGAAAACAAGATAGCAGAAAGCATTCCCTATCTAAAGGTATTGTTCTTACTTAAAGTATATATTTTACTAATAGAAAAATAGTATCAGAATGTGTAAAATTATGGTAGCATGTCTCAAGGTAGAAGCATACTATTTACAAATCATAGTTTAAGCTACATACTGGAATTATATTGCTATAGCTCTGCCAGTGAACTGGAACAAGTTTATACATCAAGATTCTTCAATTCCTAAACATCAAGTATTTCTTTTATTAGTAGTTAATAGAATAACTGTAAACAGAGATCTTTGAGTTTCTTGTTGTTTTGAGGTTGGCAGTATGCTGCAAACTTACAGTTCTTGAAAGATCCAAATAGGGCATGTGTATACTTCTGAGTATTTGGGAAGAAATACTGTAAAATGAAACCTTAATTTGCAATATCCGACTTTCTAAAATGCCTGTGTATGCGGGAGAGTTTGGGGTGGTGTGGGTATGAGGTGTCCGCCTCTGCGTATATACCTGTCTTGCAGTGAGAGGGCATGGGTTTTGAAAAAAGGTAACATTTCTCAAGGGCTTTTTGATTGAAGCGTTACATCCATTCAACCTAAGTTCTAGGATACACCATGGTCGTTATATCTGATAACCAGTTTCACAGCTTATCTCTTCAATAGAAATGGTAGCTTATTTACAGCAATCAAGTGAACTCTTTTAAAAAGTTATACTGAATTTCATCTTATCCTTTCCTTAGGAAGGACTAGAGTCTGGTGACCCTGGCACAAATGATGGACGCTTTTATTTTCATCTAGGCGATGCCTTGCAGAGGATAGGAGACAAAGAGGTATGTGTTTGACACGTCCTTTAAGTTTAAACCTCTGAGGGACTGCATAATTCAGCAAAACTTTAAAGCATGGGCTTAATGTTGAAAACATTTATAGAGTTCAAAATAAGGGACATCACCAGCAAAAAATCTGCCATTTGCATGATGATGCAAACTCCCTGCACCCTTTATTCTACCATGGGACTACCCAAAACGTATTATAAGCTTACGTGGGGCAGTATGAACCAACAGACCAAGAAAATTCAAAAATTCCATGAAGGCCATTTTTAGAATCTGTTTCCACTCCTACCACTTTCTATAAAGATCTTTCCCACCAGAGCCAAAATATGGAGATATAAATGTATAACTTTACATGAAAGTTCTCTCATACCTCTGGTATAACCCTGATTTGTAAACCTCACCTCTTTTCCAAAGTGACTTTGCACTGGTGAGTACATAGTACAAGAAGACCATGAGAAAACCGAATGTGTGGCCTGGGTTACTGTGCTTGGTCATGCGTTAAATTAGCAAACAGATCAGAAAAGCAGAAATTTGTACAACATATTTGTTTCATATCCAAAAAACACAAACATAGGCCACTGGAAGCCACAAGAGTTTCTAAACTGTAAATTTAGTAAAGCCAAACTTAAATATGTGAATTAGTCCTACTGTAATGGAGGAGATGAGAGCTAAAAGTATTTACTGAAAACTATTATTGATAAAGCTCTTTACTATGAATATCAATTTATAAAAGGTTCCCAGGTGGCAGATATGGAGAGAAGAAAAACTAAGAAAATGTAGTGGAAAGAAATATGAAAATCATTACTTTTTAATCAGTTATATAGTAATATATATGAAATATTGATAGTTAAAATTCTGTAAGAAATGATGACCTCTCAAGTATCTTAGTCCAGTCAGTAGGCAATTCTCCAACACAAAAAATAGACCAGTGGACTATAATAAAACATATATTTAGGGTCTTTCTTTAGACTATTTAGTCAGATCAGATCTTAATTTATTTTATAAAAAATATTTAACTGTTATTACAGTACCTTACATGTACAGTAGGGCTAGAGCTTTGAAATGTAATAAAATCTGAACTTTTTAAATTGGATTATCTTCTCTGGAAGTACAATAAAATATTCTTCCAAAGACTTTTTTTTTTACATTCTAAAATTTATTTACAAGCGAGAATTAGTTGGCCTCATATTACACTTATGCACGCACATACGCACACATACGCACACATACACAAACACACAAACATTCTGTGTGTTTATGTGTATGGGTGTCTGTCTGTATGTGTCTCAGCAGAAAACGGAAAAGAAAATCCCTTTTCACTTCCCTGGGTTGAATGACTAAGCCTAAAGCATCTCATTACAATGTGTGACTAAAGATACCACACAGAAGTAATTAACGTACACCATCCCAAATCCCCAGGATAATTATGTGTTAATGTTTATGGAGTTAATGGTCAAATCTACTGTAGAAAAAAAACTTTAATCAGTGACAAGTGAACTTGCTGGGATAGAAGAGACTGTTAAATTTATCTGTGGAAAGACCACCATTAAGCTAAATTTTCTTTACTGACCTTGCTTGACTTGCTGAGCTTCAAGATTTAATCAAGAAGACAGATCAATATTTGAGGAACACATGAAATTGCTATCACTGAAGGTTCATTGAAAGTAGATATTCGTCCATTAGAGCTAAATTAGGAATTAAAAATGTAGTCTTAGTAAATTGTAGCGAAATAGCATTGAATATGCCCTTTCCAACAATAATTCAACAAAATGCCAAGCTACTGAAAAAAAGAAAAGCAGTGAAAGGCATTATAGAGTAAACAAAGTGCTGTTCACGTAGAATATATAAAGTAGCAGACAATTTATTTCTTGAAAAGACTATATATTGCTGTAGCTGTCTTGGATAGAACAGTGGTCATTATTTAGTCTTTCTATTGCCAAGATTGGCTTGTGGAAGAAAAGGTTTCTAAAAGAAATTCAGGACTGTGAAGGATGTGCCAGGCAACATATCCCTACCCCATGCTGTCCAAGGCAACCTCATACAATCTAAGTACAATTCTTTTATAAAGATTAACAATATTGTACATTGTAACTGTTGCTGATGGATCATAAAGAGCAGCAGCATTCTTACTCGTGGGATAGTGGCTGAAAGATTTCATCCCCCTTCTCATTTGGGCTGACTCCAGATATATTGCAAATTAATGCAAGCAGTGAGCGTGAACCATCTACTGGTAGCCCACTGCTATTACAACTTACATTTTGAGGGGCATATATTATAATCATAATACTTCAAAGTCTTAACCAAGACAAGATCAAACTATAAAGATATACTGTATGTCGCCAAAAGGTAATACATAACTTTTTTGACCCATATGTAAAGACACAATTTTTAAAAGTTTTTTCAGAGAAAAGTACTATATTTTATAGCGATCAAAAGATAAAAATGAATATAGTCTGTCTGCAGTTCTATTTATCCACACTACTTTTCTGTACTTCAGTTAAATACTATAAGACTACATTTTATTGCAGCCTTTCCTTTGTACTTTGAAAGAGTTATAAAGATCAAAGTACTGCATCTTTGAAAAGCTTGAAGAAAATTTACATACAGACTCTCCAAACATTATCTGTGTTTATAATATTGGGGAATAGGTAAAAAATTACCTCTGAAAACACAAACACAGTCATTTCTTACCTTATACCTGAAAAAAGGACCTCAAAGTAATTAAGCAAGGTGACATATGAAAATTTTTAGGTGAAGAATTTCCAATAGCTTTTTATTTCCTTTACTGATTGCCTGCTAAGATTAAGTCAAATACATGCTATCCCCATGGTTGATTTGTATCCAAAAAAGTTTCACTTTTCCTTCTACTTTGCTGATTGCATGGTGAACGTGAATCGTATACTGACAAGTATGCCTTCTCCTAGAGATATGCTTATTTGGTTGTATGTTTTGTTTTCTATCAGCTCCCTTATATAAGGTATTTCTTCTTTAGCTTAAGAGTGAGACTTGCGTTTCTGTTGCAATAAGCATTTAGTTTCAGGCTTTAAATCAAATGTGGGAGGATTAGTGGTTGTATGCCTTTGAGTTAGTTAGAACAAGGGAAAGGACTCTCTTCAGAATACAAGCGACAATGAAAATTGGCTACAGTCATTGCAAGGAAAGTATCAGACCAGAAGGCTACTGGGGACAATTTTTTAAAATTACCACCTAGTCCAGATTTTCAACACCACTGCCAGAAGGAGAAGTAGGGGTTTTTGTTTTGTCAGAACTTGGCAGGTAGGTGAGTCCAGCAGGGATGGTAGCCAATACTAAGTTGTAGAAGTATTAACTGGAAGCACAAGAATGAAATTATAGGCTGTTTTATGTAGAGTGAGATAAGAATAGACTGAACTGGGTGAAGGAGTGGAAGAATGTGGTCAGAGTTTGGATGCCTGAGGCTTAGGTGAAGGTACATTGGAAAGGTTACAGGTTTAGGAGGGAGTGAATTTAGAATGGTGTAGCTAGAGAGGAGCTCTGCCGATGAGTCCAGGTAAAGAGGTTTTTGGATGATTTCTGTCTAAGGCAGGAATTGTGCCTGTTTCTCTCCCTCTGCTTTGGACTTCTTATCCCCATATCTCCCTACTTAGCTACCCTATCATATCCTTTTTTTTTTTTTTTTGTGATGTCTAAAATATTGCAGCTCTAACAGCAACACTGGACAGAAAAGTGGCAGCTGTATGTAGCTTTATCTCATTATGGATCAGGTCAAGCAAGTTGTGGAAAGGGAGAAGAAACAAGCAGAGATCTAGCCAGTGCCTCCGGTCTCATTAGGCTTCTCCTGTTACGTTAAATAAAGGGGAGGGACAAGAAAAATTGGTTACATCAGCTCAGTTCTGATGTGAAAAAAAATATTTGAGGTAATCATGCAACAATTTAGATCCACAAAGTCAGTACTGTGTCTCAGCATTTCTTTTGGCAGCAGAAGGCAGTCATCTTTAATTCATATATAGAACACTGAAGCATAGAGAAAACAAGTTTGACCAACATTACACAGAATTAGATTTCTTAAGTCCTAGGATAGAGTCTAGATTATAGACTAGTTTTTGAGGTGAATGATTCTGAGGGAATTATCTTATTTTGCTGATGTGAGATTGGAAAGCTTTAGCTGACTTTGTTTAATCTATTTTATGGTTGTTGATTTTTTTTTCTTAAGAAGTTTATTATTGCACTTTATTAGGAGAATATCACTGCACCCAAAGGGCCTGTTCCTTTACCAAAGGAGTGTAAGCTACTTTTTTCTACTAAAGTTTGACTGGTAACAACTGCAATCTTTTAGGCATACAAATGGTATGAACTTGGATACCAAAGAGGTCACTTTGCGTCTGTGTGGCAGCGCTCCCTCTATAATGTCAAGGGACTGAAAGCTCAACCTTGGTGGACAGCAAGGGAAACTGGTTATACAGAACTGGTGAAGGTGAGGAGTTTGTTTCATTTTACTTTGATTTTTTTTTAATGACAACTATAATCTAAGGTCTTAAGCAGAGAAGATGCTGAGGAATCTCTTTAAGGTCTCAATCATGGTAAGAGAGTACAAGACACTAAACCTAGACTGAGCAGAATATTTAAGCAACATACTTATGTAAGATGAGCTCGGGGTGTTTTAAAAATTGAGAATGGGGGTTGAACGGCTGAAATGAGTAGTAAATACAAAATTTACCTGGTAGACAACTGTGGTGTCTCAAGTACAAAATGAGAGCAAAACCCATGTGATGGCTGAGACACCCATTGTGAATCTTTAATTAGTTAGGAAGGGCTGTGTCCTGTGTCCATCATTGTATAATGCTCAATGACTTCTTTGGGAGCTTTTAATTGCATAAGAGAAATAAGTTTGGACTGCCAGTGACTAATTTAGCAAAAGAGAACAATATGTAGTTCTTTAAAGTTATTTTATTATTTAATGCAAGACATGATTGGCTATAACTTATAGTAATAATTTGTGTTCCAAAATTGTGCAAGATTTTTTTTATTTTAAAAAGGCAGAAATCCCTAAGCAGATCTTTACTAATTCCTTAAGAAAAAGTTAGAGAAGTACCTTTTTTGTGTAAATTTTGATTATTGATATATGTTTTAGCAAAACTCTTTTGTGCAAATAATTAAAAAACATGAATAGTTATTGACAAGACACATATTTGTTCAGAGTGTTTGTTTCCCTATATGTGGTTACATATGTTATAACCTACCATGAAAGACTGATTTTTTTAAAAAAAGAAATTAAATTTTAAAAAGGAAGATTAGTCCTTTTTATGATTTTGATGGCAGCATGAGTAAAGGTAGGAAATTTAGATTAAAGGGTGATTCTCCACTGTAATCTTAGTCTTCGAAAAAGCAATAAACTTTATGGTCTAGCATTTGAGAAAAATTGAGATATACATGTATTGGCAGCCTTCTTGAAGTATGTGTAAGAGTAGATACTGCCTGACATAAAGGAGAGACCAATAATTTCTCTTTGTACTTTTGCCCCACGAAAGGAGAGAAACTGTATCATGATAGTGACATTTCAGAACTATGGGTAGTGACGTTTTAGAGCCCTTACATGCAAACCTTTCAGATCCAGATCCCTTAATCACAGAAAGTAGCTTCACCCTGGGTGTAAGGGAACAGTTAGGTCTGAAGGCTGAAGAAGTTAGATCTCCTGTTATAAAATGGCCAAGGCTCCACCTTGAGGAAATGTCTTCAGTTGGATCAGACCATGTACGGAGGCCTTTGTTTGGATCCGCATCCTGGATGTCTCCTAGAAGAGCCTTTCAGAAGAACTGTAAGGACAGAAATTTGCCCTCTGAGCTTCAGCGCCCAGCTCAGTCTTTGAATCCAATCACACCTCTTCCAGGCTGTCCTCATGCTTGATTGATGCTTCCTACTCCCATTCTCTGGGCAGAACCCATAATGTGTGCCTGCCTCTGCTTTACATTCAAGTTGTCTTTACAATACACTTATAGTTTCATCACTCTTCCACAAAAAATAACTATTTCTTTAATGTTTGTTATTGAATATACCAAAATAAGGATTTAGAAAATAAAACTGAAACTACTGCACAGTACTTCTTCTTTCCTCCATTGTGCTGAGAGATGTTGCGGTATTTTAATTTTTAGCTATTTTATTAGTAATAGGCTATGTCACTGAGCCTGGGCCATATTGAGGCTGCTGGTTTATTTATATATGTATCGTAATTTAGAGCCATTAAATTTTACAATCTTCATGATAACCTTCACAGTTGAAAGTATAAATCTAAAATATGAGTTAAATGCATTAGATGGAGAATATTTGTATTGTTGTGTTTCCCCTGTGACTCAAAAACAGTATTTGAATCTTGGAAAGAAAGAAAGCTTGATTCTAACAGTGTAGCGTGCTGCAAGCAAAATTTGAGGTAGCATTCTCTAGAGATTGGCAACAAAGCCGTTGAAGACATCTGTTTTATTAATTTCAGAAATATTCTGGCTTCTGTACATATTTTAGTTTAAAAAGGTTATTTCCCCATTCCACAGAGCAAAAACCAATCAGCAGGTATTTTTTATTGCTTTGTCTTGTTATATACATCTAACATCTGTATAGAATGTGTTGGAAATGCTACCAAATCAGAATGATAGAATTTGACGTTGAAATGGGTGTATGCAAAATGAAGCAATGGAGGCTCTGTCTCTGTGTTTCACCATTTATTGTGAAATGTGAACAAATTATTTTCAGTATCTTGGTAGCTTAACAGTGCCTACTGAGGATTTATTCATGGCTAACTAAAACAACGCCAAACCCAGACTCCCTGACATACTCTGACAACTATATTTTTGTTCATTGTATTACCTAACACAGCTGTGGTCAGCCTTGTTCCAAACAGTAATATGTTGTAGCACAGACCTAACTTAATTTTGTTATAAAGGGTTATGTGATTTCTTGTTTTTGGAGATGGAGATGTGAATTTGAACAATGACTTGCTTTTTCTAGATAGAAAAAAAATATTTTTTTTCAGTACTCCTAATCTAATAAAGTTCTTCTGAGGGGGATTCTACTCACCTAACCATAGTCACACAAAAGTGAGGCATATTGTCTGTGCTAGTTGTCTAGGTCAATTAAAAAAATGAGTTATTTCCAGAGGGTGATTCATCCCTAATATGTTAGGACAGATAATTATCTTAGGACGGCATATCTTCCTTTCTGGAGTTATTTTTCCTACTATTTTTCCAAAAAAAAAAAAAGCTTAGTCAACTAATTTGGTGTGATGTTTAGCTGCCTGATGGGCAAGGTTAAAGAAGACAAAACTCATACTTTTTTACTTCACTATTACCTATTAGCCTGGATGTCCAAAGACAAACAAACAAAAGACTGTGAGACTATCTCAATGACATTTAAAAGTAGGTGTATGATACTGGTAAATCCTGGTTAGTGTTCGCATGCTGATGGGAAATGGATCTTTGTTTCTCTCCAGCTGCTGCTTAAGTTTTGTGATTTCCTTGAAAGAATGGGAAAGAGCACCTGATTTCTCAGGGAGCAGAAAATATAAATCTTCAACTTAGGAAGAGTGTCAAGTGACTCGTGTCAAGTGTGCTGTTGACCTGTCTAATCTACAGTGTTTGAGGGATTTGGATCTGGAGATTCAAGAAAATCTTTCATGTTTGAGCTCAACTACGCTTATCTTTGAACAACTATCCCCTTGCCTTGGTGCAATTAGTTTTCCTCTGCCAATCTCACTGATTCATTGCGTCACCTCTGCTATCTTTTGTAGAACCTCAGTACAGTATTACTTTTCTGTTCTAGTTCCCAGTTAAACAAAAAAAGTGCAATATTATTGAATCCTAGAAACTTTTCACCAGTCTGAAATGAATACATACATGGTGACCTAGGTAACTGTGTCCTTTCCTCATGTTGCATCTTTGACTTTTGGAAAGGACCTAGATAATGCTTTGCCAACAATGTATTACAGTGAATAGCTGATTGATTAAAGTAGGTCTTGCATTGTCAGTTTTCTCTGATGACTTAGATTTTATTAATGAAAAGTTTCAAGCACAGCAAGAAAATTACAGAAAGAAAATGAAAGTACTGGCAACTACACATATCCATAAGGTCTGCTGTACAGTGACAGCTAGGGCTCAATGACTTAGCTAAAAAAAGCTAAACGTTTGAATTTAATGGAGAAATTAAATTGAAACGTGTATATAATTGACATGTCTTAAAGTGTGCCGGGATGCTGTAAGGGGAGCCTTGTGTTGAAAAGAGCAAAGATATTAAGCATGCACTGTTGTCACCTTGCTGATGTATAAACACTGTGAGTGACCGAATGAGGGCAAGGGATCTTTTTGAGCAGGTTAAAATACTGCCTCTCACATGGAGGCTACTGTTCCCCGGCTGAGATACTATTACAGAGCATGAAGCCTTTCCTACTCTGTTTCAGTGGCAAAGTGAAATGGGTTCAAGTCTTCACCGGGATTTTATTCTGTAGTCCTATGGATTAAAATGCATGTGTGGTTAGCAGTCATTCCTCACAAGAGGTACAGTACCCTATTAATATATGCCTGCACCATTTATCACCTTTTTCTGAAAAGAGTTTAACATCATAGACTAAGGATTTTTAATGCAATACAGTAGCACATGAAAATAAATCAATATTAAAAAATCCCTATTTAAATATAGTAATATATTTGCCAATAAAATTTAGAGTATTGCCAGATGTAAAGCAACTGTAAACTTCCATTCTTGTTAGAAACTGTATTAAAAAGCCATATGGCAGGTTATAGGAATCAGCTGCTAGGAAATAAGTACTCCAGATATGCTCCAGATGCCATTCATTTGCCACTAGATTCTTTACTTGAAATCAGAATATTACACCAAATATAATATGAATTCATTGTTCTTAGCCTGAGGCTTGAATCTCCATATATTATGAAGCATGATCATATTTAACTTTTTTCTGTAGATACCAGTTTTTTGCTCAAGAGCCTTTAGCCCTGGACTTACCCATTATGTTTGAACGGTTCTTAACATGCAATATGTGCATAAAAGTCTGTAAAATCAGGGAGATCAAGACTGAGCTGTGTTTGAACTCCTGTAACTCTCCACTTCCTTTGCACCTAGGGAGAGTTGCATATTACTTGCAGTAAAGCATTACTGCGTGTTTTAGAAACAGAGATTCTCAAGAGTACAGAGGCACTATTGATTTCAGTGGACTCCTCCTTCCTTCATTGAGGAGTTAGGTCAAAATCAATGATGTTCAAATCAGTTTGATTCCAGTATGGTAGGGAAAGAGCCTTAAAAGAGCCTTTCCTTAAAAGGAAGGTGGAAACATGCAACTTCACAGGTCGACTTTCAGCCTGTGCCACTTCTGAAGCATTAAAGGTGACAAAGAAGCTGTCACCTGCAGTTCGTAGATTACTTGTGCTCTTCATGTATGTTCCTGTCAGAGCACTCACAGTCTGCGTGGGGGAGAGTGCTCCTTCTTACCTGTTTCAGGCAAATGAGAAGGAGGCGTCTGAGGAAATATAGATGAGATACTTATTATAGCTGTCAGTGTTTTACATTTTTTTGATCTGCATCACTTTAAACTGAGGTCTGCATAAATGTAAGTTATTTATTTCTTTCTCTTCCCCAGCCAGTACAAAATCAGGTACTCAAGCTGATATTTTTATCTGTAGATATGGTTGCACTAAATCAGTACCAGCATAGGTGAAATATTTGTCTATGATTAGGTGGGAATTTTAAGTCTGCTTTTTTTTCCTGCAATTTAGAAAAGTCAATTTTCCACAGATATTGTAGACAACATTTCTATTTAATGTTCATTCTTAAAGCAGTGTCATGGAAACCCAACAGAGGGAGAGAATAGAATGAATGCATCAGGAAAAATTATAAGTATCCTACCCTCATACTGATGGATGAGAGATAATGCTCTCCACTAGGAAGAAAAAAAAAAGTACTATGTTGGAAGTTCAATCCTAGTGTTCATAAGCCACAGCCTGCCTAAAAATATTCTAGTAGGCGATAGTCATTTTGTTACAGAACGCGTGTTCTGTTAGTAACTTCTTTCTAAGCATTTTATGCTATATCAAGGTAAAACCTGTTTTATAGGATCTACTTGCTGCTATCTTTTAATTGATAAAAATCAAGTGGAAAATGCAACTATGTAATTGAAATAGGGAAAGCTAATAACAATATGGATTTTTAAGGCTAAAAAGGGGCAATTATATCTTCTAGTCAGACAGTATAACATAGGCTTTTGAGTTTCATTCAGCTTTACACATCATGCAAAGAGGCAATGTGAACACACACCTTAGCCTATTTTCAGTATGAAATGGATTGATAATGCCTTACAGAAGTGTTTTGTTCATGAGCACAAAGGAAGATGCAAACTATTCACCCAAATTAAGGTTTAGTGAATAAAGTAAGCAGCTGGGAAGGGGAAGTCACTTCATTATTACTTAGTCCCATTGTTACTCTGTGGGTTATTTCATTTATATTACTGTACCATTAAAATGACTTACTCTTGCTAGAATACAAGGTCTTCTGATATACCAAATTCTTTACAAATATGCTGTCCTAAGGCAGCAGAGAAGAACAGAAGTTTTACATCTACAGCCTTGTGGTTTTGGTATGCATGAAGTGCAAAGTGGCTTACACGTTTCTAATGAGTGTATCCATAAATCTTCACCTGGAACTTCAAGTCATATTTGATGTTTTTCTATAGGATCAGAATGTGCAGGTGAATCTTTGCCAACCTTTTCAAAGGTTTAAATCGTAACTGTCAACTGAAGTGGCGTGTTTACATTTGTCCTCTTTCAACTGTGACATTCTGTCGACACTTTGAGTTTCAGGTTATGCTAGTGGATTTCTTGTCTCGGGAGTGCTTCCAGGTAATAGTGTGCTATGTTTGAGAAGATCAATACTCTTGTTAGCTTGCAATATAAAATGATCTGTTAAACAGCCCTTAGGCTAATCAAAAAGCAAATTAAGGTGAGGCCTAGCCTGCAAAGAGGTTGGGGATTATTGAAATTTTATGATACAAATGTAATTGAATCTGAAGAATGATGCGAAGGTTGTTTTTACAGCCTTCAAATGTCAGAAGGGAATTGAATATAAAGAAACTTAATAGTCATGATGAACTCTTTGTTAGTGCTTTTAAATTAGAAAGTTAAAAATGGCAGGGAAAGGCACTAAATCCAAACACAGTAAGTTCTCACTGCAGTAATATGGCTCTCTCAACAGTCCTTAGAAAAAAACTGGAAGCTCATTCGGGACGAGGGGCTTACTGTGATGGATAAAAAAAGAACCCTCTTCCTGCCCGAAGATGAGAATCTACGAGAAAAGGGAGACTGGAGTCAGTTTACCTTATGGCAGCAAGGTAAGACATTTGGTAATTCTTCTTCTTCTCCTACTTCACTCTCAGATTAATATTGTGTAATAAGGAATAGGAACATAGTTTTTCCAGAATCATTTTTTTAATCACTGAATCTGTCATTTAAGTTTGTGAAAGAAGGGAGCTAATAAAATAGTGTCTGAGACCCCAGCAACAGTGAACATGAATTCTTTATTCTAAAGCAAGTTGCCCCCAAGCACTTCTAAGAATCCCCTGAGACAGTATTCGTCTCTTGGCAAGGTTGCCAAAACTGTACATAGCAATGCATAGCACAGATCAGCCTGAGGGAAGGCAGGAGAGTGGGAGAAGATGTATCCTTAATATTGGGTTGCCAGCTAGGTGAGATGCTATCATTCAGAAATTATATGAACAAAAAAAATGTGAGATTTAATTAGCCTGCTGCTCTGTCCCTGAGCTGTAGAGTGGGAGGCCCAATTATTAGAATGTCCATAACTTCTTATAGGACTTTGCATAGTCAAGAGTATCGAAAGCTAAAATATTGTAAGCAAGAGATAATTATAAGATTATAAGATTATAATAATATATTAAGATAATTATAAGATTATAAGATCATATCAGAATATAATCTGGTGTTGAAATGATATGCTATTGGTGGCATTTTTAATCTTTTTCCTATACAGCCTGATTAATGATCATACTTTGAGAATCGTATTTGAAAATGATAGGTAGTCTGCTCTTCTCCACAAATAATATAAAAGGAAAGATATTGCAGGCTGCTCAGATATTACAAAGTATCAGTGCTTCTGTTTCATGATCTGTAAAATGGGAATAATAATATTTACCTGTCTTTTTGTGTTAGGTCTTTGACAGCTTTGTTACTATTCTGAAGTGTAAGAAACATGGGAATGTTCATTTATTGCATGTACTAATGCTCTAGTAATTATTTTCACTAGGAAGAAAAAATGAGAATGCTTGTAAAGGTGCTCCAAAGACATGTGCTTTACTGGAAAGATTCCCGGAAGCTACTGGTTGCAGAAGAGGGCAGGTATGTAGCAAACTTCTTCATTTTTTTGCAATTTCCTAATGCTGGGAGCAGGTGATGTTGAGGAATGTGTGCAGAGGGGTGCATGACCTTGGTATATTTAAGGATGCCTCAGACACTCAATGAAGTTAACAAAATAAAAATATGCCTAGTCTTAGGCCTAAGCAAATATGTGATAAAATACGCTAGGTGAAACCTTTCTATGGAATTTTCAGTTGAGCCATTTTATCTTGCATTCGCTGTGAGCTCAAAGCATGTAAATGGTTAGCTGTCATGGGTCAACTGAAAAGAAATGACTTACTAAACCACAGGCTGGTGGTAAGCAACCTGCGCTAAGCTCATAACTGACCCTGCTTTGAGCAAGGGGTCAGACAAGATCCTTTCTAACCAGAATACTTCTATGATTCCTTGTATCTGACTCTAACTTTGACAAAATTAATTCAGTGAATCAGATTCTCACCGAGATGAACTCACCCATTTACCCCAGACTGGCTTCAATGGACAGAAATACTTCACCGAAGCCAGACAGCAATGCTACTGTTTCGTGCTTCCTTCCTCAAGATAAAGGAAGAAAACTTTAAATCCATGAACTGTGTGTGACCTTGGATGCCAACAAAATTTAAGTGCCTGATCTATACTGACTGCTCTGCTACAAATTAACCTTGTTAAATCATGCAGTAGAGTGATATGCTGTGGATCAAATGTACGAACCTTGCTGGATGGCCCAACATGAATATCATGTGCATCTGTAGGACAGAATTTTTCGTTGTTCTTTTTTTTTTCAAATAAATTATTATACTATATCCTTAATGAATAGGTTAAAATAACTTTCAGGTTACAAAATTAAGAATGCAAAAGTTAGAAAACACACCGTAACGCTTGCATAATCCTTATTTAGAGCCTTGTGTGTAAGTGTTCATCTTTTCCATGAGACTTTTGCCTTTTGATGTGCAGAAGCTGATGGCTAGTGTTCTGGGAATGAATGAGGCTATTGTTTCATTGATTTGTTGTAAAAGCTGTTTGTAGTAAATACTAACTGATGAGACAGTCAGTGTCAGTGTGGCTGACCCCAAGAGTACTGTTGTGTATAGCATCCATGGCCAAAAATGGATCTATGCCAGAAAGCCAGTTTTATTTGTCAGCTACCATTTTGGTCATCATTTTTTGTCACCCTATATGTTATCTCTGGGACACAGTCTGCAGAAGTACTGTATATTCATAGCTACAGCTGTAGTCCAAGAGAGATGTATTTTGAACGGATAAAATATTAAATAGTTTGAAAAGTGATGGCCTAGAAGTCTTAAGTTTTACATCTAGTATTAAGGGCTGTCTAGGACAATTTTGGCCTTATACTAGCCATGCCTCCGGTTATTAGAGGTAAAATAAATTTAAAATATCATCTAACCTCCAGAAAATGTTGCAGAGAACAAAATTATTCATGTACTGAAGCACTTGGAGGCAATAGAACAAAAACAGGAAAGGAAATTAGAAAAAAAAAAGGAAATTAAGAGTTCTGTAGTACATGCACTATCTGGATGATTTACATTAAGTAACTTTTGGCACTTTGCATGTTGACAAAGACAGAAAGAAATATTGATTACTTTATTACCTACTCAATGCAGCTGAGAGATTGTATAGAGCAATAGCAAGTGATCATATTATTAAAGATGATATTATACTTCTTAGAAACTGAAGCAACAAACTGAACATAGCACAGTTAGTTTTAATTCTGGGCATTTCTTAATTTTCAGAGTTTCACCTTTCGGCCATAACATGACTTGGTTGTAGTACAGAAATATTTATGTATTATATACAGTGCTTGAGTACAGAACATACATATAATTTAGATATATCTAGACTGATCTATGCAGACAGGTAACATACATGACAGTAATCATTCCAGAATACTGATATGTTGCCATTATAAAATTATTTATGTGGGATATTAGTAAGTTTCTTGCATAACCAGCACCAGCAGCTATTTGAATTGTGTTAAGGTCTGGCAGAGGGGTCAAGCTAATACGTGTCACTGTAGCACAGACAGTGGAATGAAACATTTGTTTTCACTTTGGCCACTATAGCTGATCACATGCTATCATAAGAAGTTGCCAAGAAACTAAAACCTCAGATGCTGGAAATGGTTAAGGCATTAGATAGATATTCTCTTCTGCTGACTTTTCTATAGTTGGAGAGCAAGTAACACCTTACACCACAATATTTATCAAAGTTACCTTATCTCAGCCGGCTATGCAGATTTCTCAATTGATAGGAGGTTGTGGACGCTTCCCACCACTGCCATGTGATACTCACACTTCCTGTTCTCTGGGTTGTCATCGAATCACAGAATTGCAGAATAATTGGGGTTAGGAAGGACCTCTGGACATCACCTAGTCCAACCCTCTGCTGAGAGCATGGTCAACAAAAGGAAGTTGCCCAGCACTGTGTCCAGTCAGGTTTTGACTATCTCCAAGGATGGACACTCCATAACCTTTCTGAGCAACCTTTTGCAGTGTTTGACCACCCTCATAGTAAAAACGTTTTTTCTTACATTTAAATGGAATTTCTTGTAATTCAGCTTGTACCTATTACCTCTTGTCCTTTCACCAGTTACTACTTGAAGAGTCTGGCTCTGTCTTCTTTAATCTCCCTTCATCAGGCATTTATACATGTTTATAAAATCGCTCCTGAGCCTTTTCTTCTCAAGGCTGAACAGTTCCAGCTCTATCAGCCTCTCTTTGTATGACAGATGCTCCAAGATGTTAACCATCTTTGTGGCCCTTAGCTGGACTCATTCCATTGTGTCCATGTCTCTCTTGTATTGGGAAGCCCAGAACTGGATACAGCACTCCAGATGTGGTCTCACCAAGGCTGAGCAGTAGGGAAGGAACACCCTTCTAAATTTGCTGGTGACACTCTTCCTAAAACAAGCCCAGGATGCTGTGGGCCTTCTTTGCTGAAAGGGCACTCCAGGTCTTTTTTCAGGTAAGCTGCTTTGCTGCTGAATGAGGTTGTTCCTCCCCAGGTGCAGGATCTAACATTTCCTGTTGTTGAACATCATGAGATTCCTTTCCGCCCATTGCTCCAACCTTTTGAGATCCCTCTGAATGGCAGCACACCCATCTGGTATATCAGCCATTCCTCCCACTTTTCTATCACCTGGAAACTTGCTGAAGGTGTAGTCAGTCCCATCATTCAGGTGATTAATGAAGAGGTTAAATAGTATTGGCCCCAGTATCAAGCCCTGGGGTGCACCACTAGTGCCTGGCCTTCAGCTGGACTTTGTGCTACTGATCACAATCCTTTGACCTTGGCAGTTCAGCCAGTTTTCAGTCCACCTCACTGATGACTTATCTAGTCTGCACTTCATCTGTTTGTCAGTGAGGATGTTATGGGAGATATGTTATTGAAAGCCTCACTAAAGGCAAGACAGACAAATCCACTGTTTTGCCCTCACCCACCAAGCCAGTCATCTCATTGTAAAAGACTGGTTAGGCATGATTTCCCCTTCATAAATCCATACTGACTACTCCCAATCACCTTCTTATCCTTCATGTGCAGGGAAATGGTTTCCTGGAGGGTTTGCTCCATCACCTTGCAGGGATCAAGGTGAGGCTGACTGGCCTCTGGTTATCTGGATCCTGCTCCTTGAAGATAGGAGTGACATGTGCTTTCTTCCTTCCAGTCCTCAGGAAACTTCCGCAACTGCCATGACCTTTCAATGATTATCGAGAGTGGCCTGTCAATGACATTGGCCAGCTCCACCAGCGAGTGCTCCTCATCAGGTTCCATGGACTTGTTTATGTCTGGTTTGCTTAAATATTCCTTAGCCTGATCTTCCTTTACTGACAGTAAATCTTCCTTGCTCCAGATTTTCTCTCAGGCCTCAGAGGCCTGGAATTACTGAGGGCCAGTCTTACCAGTAAAGACTGAGGCAAAAAAAAAGAAATCGAGTACCTCAGCCTTCTCCATATCTTTTGTCACAAGCTTCCCTGTCTCATTTAGCAGCAGGCCCATGTTTTTCCTCACCTTCCCATTTCTGCTGGTATACCTGTAGAAGCCCTTCTTGTTGCCATTCAATCCTTCACCAGATTCAACTCCAGATGAGCTTTAGGTTTTCTAACCCTATCCCAGCATACTCAGACAGTGTCTCTATATTCCTCTTGGGTCATCTGTCCCTGCTTCCATCTCTTATATCCTACCTTTCTGTGTCTGAATTTAGTCAGGAGCTCCTTGCTCATCCATGCAGGCCTTCTGCCACCTTTGCTTGATTTCCTGCTTGTTGGGATGGCTCATTCTTGAGTTTGGAATAGGTGATCCTTAAAAATCAACCAGCTCTCCTCAACCTCTCCATTCTTCAGCACCACTTAATGGGATTTTTCCAGGAAAATTCCTGACTAACGAAAATCTGCTCTTCTGAAGGATCACAAGTTTTTTAACTTGATCCCTCGTCTGAGGATCCTGAACTTCACTGTATCATGATGGCTGCAGCCAAGGCTGTCTGCAGCCTTCACATTCCCATTGTCTTCTGAGAGGGGCTGCCTGTCAGTCTGTTTGGCTAACATAGGACTTAGGCTGAATTTAGCCCTGGCGCATCTCTTTAAACGACAACAGCGTTCTTTCAACAAGAAGGAAGATATTTCTCTGCTTGTAGTTAGGAGCTAATTGTTTGCAGGTTGAAATTAATCCTGATGGTTTTAAACAAAACGAAAAGTGTATTTTCTCTCTCTCTCTCTCTCTCTCTCTCACACACACACACACATACACACATACACACACAACACACCAAGCACAACATGTTTTTTGTAGTGTTGAATGCCTTTGGAATGTGAAAAAGCTCAACTATTGCTGAGACCCTAACGCAAAATGGTGTTGCGCTCTCAGTCTCACCAAGGATGAGAGGTGAAGTTCTGGACTCTTAGCATAAGGGTGGTGAAAGTGAGCTTATTGGAGGCCTTTATTTCTTTTTGCAGATCAAGTATTCTGTCATGCATCCAGGGACTCATGTCTGGCCCCACACAGGGCCCACCAATTGTAGACTAAGGATGCATTTGGGCTTGGTGATACCTAAAGAAGGCTGCAGAATTCGATGTGCGCAAGAAAACAGGTAAGGGTTTTTTTGTTTATTCCTCTCTCCCCTGGCCCCTCTCTTTCCCAAGCCTGAAAATAGGTTGGAATGTATATACCGTAAGGAGTTCTTTAAACAAGCAATTTGCACCCTAACTCTTGGAACAAACATATAAATGTTAGCTGCCAAACAATGCCAAAGTGATCTTTGGACACAAAGCTGCTTTTCTCTGCTGTGGCTTGGAAATAACATTGGTTTTTGTCCATGAATTTTTCTATGTTCACTTTTACAATGACAGTCTAATATACTCACCAGCTTCCTTTATCTATTTTTTTTTTTGGCTTAGAGTTCTTTGCTTATCCTGCAGAAGTTGAGACTAAGCTATGCCTGTATTTTCACCACTGTGACAGCAGAATATTATCACCTTTCCACAGAGGCCTGGTTCCTAGCTGGTATTGTTTGGTATAATTCAGTTCAATGTACTCTAGTTGAAGCTGATTTACAGCTATGATGTGTTTGGCCCAATGAGTTACACTGGTAGCAAATTTCCTTAAAGTGCATTTTGAGTAAGAATTGTTACCCCTTAGGGAAAAATTATGCTGACTTGAAAACCTATTTTGTCTCTGTTTGCTCAGTGCAAAAAGCAAAATAAAATGCAATAATCCAGACATTTAAAGTCAGAGAATATGCCCCCCTGGGAAATATGGGAAAATCCCAAACTTTAGAGTGTGATAGGTGCTTACATGGTATTATTAAATACAGCCAGAAAAATATAGTATTATCTATATTACTATTTGCTTACAGACTTCATTTTCTGAATCTTAGGTGGAGTTCCAATGCTGTTTAATATCTATATGTACAATTTTGAAAGATTCTATGTCTTGCCTGTGTGCATCTGAGTGCAATAAAAGTTAGATTTGTGTTTTTTCATGGTACTGTTATACCATGTTATATTTGATATTGAGAAATGAAGTGGCACTCGTGACTGCGTGACTGCAATAGATAGCAAAGATTTTTTTCAGAATCTTTGAAAACAACTGCAACTGGAAATTTTTAGAATTTTTGAGGACAGAAGTATGTAACTAGTAAAAATCAAGATGTTGTCACTACAGAGATATGAGGACTCCTGCCAACATATAGCTCATTTAACGATCTCTCACAGTTGTTACTTAGTCTATATTACAGTCTAAGTAGTGATGAACATGTTTGCTTCCCGTATTCTAACTCAATATCCAAAATAAGTTAAAAATAGAAATTTAGGTGGAAGAAGAAGTAGCTAAGGGGCTTAAAGAACTAACAGTGAGATGTAGAGTCTTTCCCCTTTGGGTCATTATTGTGAATTCAGGTCAGTGGTGACTGAAAAGCATTACCATCAGATGGCTGTTTGTTGACCTGTGTGAACAAAGTGGTGGTTTTGCTCCCCTTCCTAGGGAGCAGGTGCTCACAACTCACCATCCATTATTATGGCTGACAGTCTTATCTGTCTTAGTCTGAACAGAAGGGATGGTGGTGTAGAAAATGAACTATCCCTCCCTTGGTACCAGCAGCAGGGGGATGTGGTGAGGTAAAGTGGAGAAATGTCTGTTGCTGCTGGTATGCAAACAGAGGACTTCAGTCCCTAGGCTGCAGAATCTGGCTCTTTCTGTATGCATCAGACTCACTCATTCAAAATGTAAAGCTCATATTCAAGAGCTGACTTTGGCCTGTGCTGGAATGTTTTAATTTCAGTTGACTTTGGCAAGAGCTATACATTCCAAACAAAGACAAGATTTTCCTTGAGAGCATTCAAAGTATATCTACTAATGAAAATGAAAGGATTTTTTATATCCCTTTCCCTATGATGGAGGAGGCAGGTGAGTTAATGTCGAAAGAAATGATGCTAGGAAGAAAACATGTCATGAGCATTTTCAATTCCTCTCCTAATGGTTCAGAGCAGTAGCACATTAGTGGTTTTAAATATGAGAGCCGGCTCAAATTTTAAGGATAGTGTACTGGTAGTCAGAGCTTTGACTCCATCCTTTTGTGGTTTCCTGTCCTGCTGCTGCTTGTACAAGATAAAGAATGGAACCAATGAGAATATTGTGCTAAGTTACCTCTGTGCACTCAGTGTGAGTGTTCAGAGGGGCAGTTTTACTGTGCAGCTCCTCCTCTGATAGGCAGGCAGCTCAGCTGCCTAGAACTGTTTTACTTGTTTACTTGCAGAAGAGTCTTTTGCAGCTAGTGTGAGGTGGTACCCCTCACCGTTATTTAGTACAGCTGCAGTATAATTAGGGCTTTGGGCAATTATGAACTCCTAGCTCTATAAACTGTGGAGTACAATGCACAAAAACGGTAGGTAAATAATATCTAGTAAACAAAATCGAACATCTCTGTCAGACATGGTAATCCTATTTTGAAATGAAGGCACAGAGTTACAACCCTACACAGAAGTTAATCTAAAATCTCACCTGCAGCACGTTACATTAAAGCCATGCAGATAATACAGAACTCTATCTCAAAGTGGCTAAGCACCATATCAGAATAATATTGTCCCTATGGTTCCACTGTGAGGTATTTTTCAGTCAATGAAGGTGTCTGGAAAATATTTATTTGTATTCCAGTGGTGGGTTTTGTAGTCGTTCCAAAAGGAGCTAATAGTTCTGTTAACTTTATGACTTTTTCTTTGTTTTGCAAAATAGCCCGCTCCATTATGATGCAAATAGTAGATCCTTATTTTAACCTCTGAAGCTACTTCATCTGGATGCTTTGCAGATTTACTGTCCCTAACTGAGCTACACTTTCAGGCTATTTTAGTGCAGGGCTCTTCAGACTTGATTTAATAAAAAACGAGGTTAGCTTGGTTCTTTACCACACTATACCGTTATAAATGGTTGACTCCTTTTAACTTGAATAATACTGATGTAACTTCAGTGCAGTAGTAGAAACTTAAGTCTGTATGACTTAAAACTTTTCTTTGTTTATCACATAGCTGAAATGGTAGCAGAAAAAATACATGATCGTACTTAGAACCTGCTAACGACTCATTATGTGGGCCTTTAAGGCTCATGTCCACCTGCCAGTCACGCTAATCACTACCTTACGCTTATTGATTTGTTCATTCTTGCCTAAAATATGTTTTGAAGATGATGTTTCTATTTCTCTTCAGAATACTACAGCACAACTCCATAAATTTTGATAGTTAATATTTTTATTTTGTTAAGTTAAATATTCAAAAATACTTAGGAGCTTAAGTCTCATTTTCACCCTCTTTTTGAAATAAGAAAATTTATTTTCATGTGAATGAGCTCAATTGAACGAGCTAAGAAATGTATGTTCCTGTTTGATGATAAGATCTTTGTTACTTTATTATCAGTACTGTTTGCAATTCCTGATTCCCTTTAAAGGGATCCATCCTTGTGAGATTCTGTTAAAAAACTTTATTATGTGATCATTGTAGAGTGGCTTTAGGAAATAACATATCCTTGATTGTTAGTTATTACCCCTTCAGGTGAGACAGGATGAAAAATCAGATGCATACTTCTAGCCTGCTGCAATGCAAAAGAAATTTGCTTTGCTCATTCCATAGACAAATCATGTAACACACAATCAGTTACTGTATATAATTGCAGCAGGTGAGATTGAGCATCTCAAAGGCAGCAACAAACGGCTAAAGCAGTGACTTCTTACAATGTTCTGACATGATCACTAATGCTCATTGATCATGTACTGATTTTTGCAGTGTCAAGACTGCAGCTAACCAAGCATTAAAACTCTTTTCAAAACTATGAATCAAGATCTCAACAGGCTCATGAAATGAGCCAACCAAAACCTCGTTAAGCTCAGCACAGGCAGGTGCAAAGCTCTACAGCTGTAACAGAATGAATAACCCCTTGCTACAATACAGGCTGGGTGGTGACTAGAAAGCAGCTTCACAGAAAAGGCTTATGACTGCCTAGAAAGCAGCTTCACAGAAAAGGCTTAGGGTTCCTGGTGGACAACTAACTGAACATGAGTTAGTAGCATGCTCTTGTGGTGATGAAGGCTAAACATATATTGGGCTACATTAGCAATTGCATGGGAAGAAGTTTGAGGGGTGTTATTTTCCCCCTCTCCTCAGCACTCGAAACGTTATATCTGGAGTACTGTGTCCAGTCTGGGGCTCTCTGGTACAAGAAAGGTATTGATAAATTGGAGTCACTTTTGTGGAAGGCTAAAATGAAAATGATGATTAGGGGCCTGGAGCATGTGGTGGACGAGGAAAGGCTGAGAAAGGTGTTTAGGAGCTTGAAGAAGAAAAGGGCAAAGGGGGCAGGGTCTAATTGTTGTCTTCAACTAATAATAGGTAATTATGCAGAAAGCAGGGACAGGATTTTCTTGGAGATGTACAGTCATACGCCAAGAGGCAATGGACACAAGTGGCAGCAAAGGAAATTCCATCTACATAGAAGAAAAAATAATTAACAATGAAGTTGGTCAAACGCTGGAATAGTTTTCATGGAGAAGTAATGGAATCTCCATCCTTGCAGATATTCAGAACTTGACAAGAACTTGAGATACCTGATCTAACCTTGGAGTTGAATCTAATTTCACAACTGCAAAGCCCTGCTTTGAGCAGAGGTTTGAACTAGGTGACCTCCTGAGGTTTCTTCCAACCTGAATTATTCTGTGATTCTACACATCAAACAATTGAAGGGAACACAGATTCTTCCAGCTGTTAATATCTCTTATACATTGCCTCTTGCCATTGCCTTTAAATCTGGTCATTTTTGTTAATTTGCCAAACGGCAGAGCTGCTCAGAAGAAAGCCCTTTTGCATAAGTTGTGTACATCCCTTTTTGTGCCTAACAAAGTTGTTTAGTACAGCTCTTAGAAAGGTTCCACTGTCAAAACTTGGCTTTCCACGTAGCAATGCTTCAAGTTGTGAACGCTGACCCAGAGTACTTGCATTAGTTCAGTGATCCGCTCTGCCTAAGCAGTGCTTGACAAGCAGAGGCGGTTTGTTATATGGACTTACTCTGTCAGTTCAGTATAATTGTCTCAGCACACAGCATGTCATTGCAACCTTCCTCTGAAGAAAAATCTTTAGGCTCTGCACTTTGGCTCTGGACCAGATTTATGCGATAAGACTGTTCATATTCCCTAAAATTGTAAAGCATGATCGGGGGAAATTCCATCTACATAGAAGAAAAAATAATTAACAATGAAGTTGGTCAAACGCTGGAATAGTTTTCATGGAGAAGTAATGGAATCTCCATCCTTGCAGATATTCAGAACTTGACAAGAACTTGAGATACCTGATCTAACCTTGGAGTTGAATCTAATTTCACAACTGCAAAGCCCTGCTTTGAGCAGAGGTTTGAACTAGGTGACCTCCTGAGGTTTCTTCCAACCTGAATTATTCTGTGATTCTACACATCAAACAATTGAAGGGAACACAGATTCTTCCAGCTGTTAATATCTCTTATACATTGCCTCTTGCCATTGCCTTTAAATCTGGTCATTTTTGTTAATTTGCCAAACGGCAGAGCTGCTCAGAAGAAAGCCCTTTTGCATAAGTTGTGTACATCCCTTTTTGTGCCTAACAAAGTTGTTTAGTACAGCTCTTAGAAAGGTTCCACTGTCAAAACTTGGCTTTCCACGTAGCAATGCTTCAAGTTGTGAATGCTGACCCAGAGTACTTGCATTAGTTCAGTGATCCGCTCTGCCTAAGCAGTGCTTGACAAGCAGAGGCGGTTTGTTATATGGACTTACTCTGTCAGTTCAGTATAATTGTCTCAGCACACAGCATGTCATTGCAACCTTCCTCTGAAGAAAAATCTTTAGGCTCTGCACTTTGGCTCTGGACCAGATTTATGCGATAAGACTGTTCATATTCCCTAAAATTGTAAAGCATGATCGGGGCCTAATTCTGTTGTTCTGATTTTTGGAAAAAGCAGATTGGTTTAATAATTAATTTTGAGACCATATTGCAGAGGTCATTGCCCCAGTTTCCGTTACTCATTGTATATGTATTTGATTAGAGAAGGAGAAGGGTTGGTTGCTACCAATATTATTCCAGTGAGCCTGGTGAATGTTCTCTGCTTAGTAAACTCCAATCATTAGAGTATATAAATAACAAATATTGCAAATGTCTGAATATGTATGTGGGCATAACTATGCAGACTGAGAGAAAATAATCTGTTAGACTGATCTTTCTGTAGTTTATTTCACCTAATACTCTAATCTCTTCTTATTAGGTACTGAGATCCTGACTGTGCAACATACACTGATTAAATCATTCTCATATATAAAAGATCATCTTCAGAGCTGATGCTCAGCCAGACAAGTGCCCACTTCATGGCATTTCAAATATTACTCTAAAGGATGTTCTTTTCTGTTTCAGAACCTGGGAAGAAGGGAAAGTCCTTATCTTTGATGACTCTTTTGAACATGAAGTATGGCAGGATGCTGAAAGTTATCGCCTGATATTCATTGTTGATGTGTGGCACCCTGAGTTAACAGCACAACAGAGACGCACCCTTCCTGCTATTTAAGGGGCTCCTTCTGATGTGAAGAACAGAGGATCTTTAACTCTTTGGAGTATGCAAGTCGAATCACGCAGGATTAATTTGTCCACCATATGGAAAATACTAATATTTTAATGGTTAGAAGATATGAAAAAGAAGTTTTACAATGACAAAGGACTTACTTAAAAGAAAAATAATTTAAAAAGATAATTCGTTTCAAACAGATTCAGCACTGACATGATAGTATTGTTTTGCTGGCTGCAAGTTCCAAAATACTAATCTTGTCAGCCTAAGAGCAATAGGTCTGGATTTTCTAGCTATGGAATGTGCAGATGTTTTTGCCGTGCGTATGTGATGCATGCAAAAACAATTGGTCAGTCACAGGAGTGGCCGTGTTCAGGCACAAGATTTGCAATCCTACATCCCAGAAATACTTACCAGGTTTTTATCTATTGTATCAAGGTATATGATATTTATAAACATATGCACACAATCGACTTTGAAAATCAGTTATGCAGTTGTAACATTAACTGCTTTAGGCATAAAACATGTCCATATGTTATCAACTGTAGATAATGTGAATGGGTTGTATGTTTTTGTATTTTTCTACCTGAGTAACTGTATTTTTCTATCATAACTATGAATAGATCTTCTGCTTTAATCAACCACTATTTTTTAAAAACAATATATGAATAAGTGCATCTCTAGGTATTAGCAAAAGAACACGGTATATGAGCAGATTTCATTTTTGCCAAACATAGCCTTCTCTTGCCTTCCTGGAAATGCAAACAGAAACTTGCATTATCAACTTCCTAGTGAAGTTTTATTTTTCTAAAACAAAGTTGTTTTCTTAGTTAGCAGGCAGTCTTCAGTTTTAGAATGTGATTTGGGAGGAGCTGAGCAAAGGTGACAACTGCAGACTCAGATCTGAATGTACTTGACAGAATTGAGGATTATGTGCTGAACTGCTGTTCTTCCTATCATTGCTAAAGTTTGTGTTGTGATAACCATTTTCTAGCCAGCCAGAGTCTGAGGCATCCCTTTTCAGGAGCTTCTTCTAGGCTGACCTTGAGTGGTCATTCAACAGGAGAAATATGGGAAGAATTTCTTGAGCTTAGAGCAGACGAATAAAGTCTAGCTTGGATTCCTGCTCCTACAGAGCAGGTAGAGCTTGAGGAACTTTTTCAAGGTATTAACTTGTATTCTGCTGCCAGCATCCTACAGAGTGATATAATGATTCCTTAAATGACCTAGTGGTGTGCTTGCTGTCTTGAAATGCATGAAAAAATTTTGAAGTAATCCTATCCCAGTACAGTTTATAGTATATTCTGTATTTGCTCTCCTGAATTTCCTATATGGTAAAATGACCTTATTTTCAAGAAAGAAATCTTGTTGGATGTTTAAGCAGTTTGCCGGCCTTTTGGCTCCGCACTGTTTTGTGGGAGACGGAAGGTGCAGGCCCCTCAGCTGTTAACACTGACAGGGAGGAGAGACCCACGGTTGCACTGATGAAGTTTATGGCAGGCTGTTATTTTCTCTTGTGCCAAACCAGCCATGTGCGGATAGGTGTGCTAGGGTGCTCAGCATTACCCAGACGGTGGCATCGTTACTCAGAGCTTGTGAACGATGCTTGTGAGCATCGTTACTCAAAGGTTACTTAAAGTCTCCGCAACTTTGGCTTTGTTGTTCCAAAAGCACTGAACTGTTGGTAGTTTTGTATTGCTAAGAGACTACATCGTGGTACCTGAGTATTGTAAACACTGCAACATATGCTACAGATGAGAATGTCACATTTGCTGATGCAGGATACAGATAAGAGCCTTGCATTCCCATTAACTAAATGCTTTTCATATTTTGTACTTTATTAAGTAATTAAATCTTGTGAAGCCACAGAACACATGGTAATTGTGCCATAAATTGCTGTAACCAGTTTCTGGAGGTGTGCACTTTAATTTCCTTTTTGACTGTTAAAAATAAGACCCTCTGATAAACCCTCTCTGATCAAGAGTCAGTTTTAGACAGCTATGATAATTAGGCTTTAATGTGTTGTCTGTATCAATAATTACACTGAAACCATCATCTGCAAGAAAGTAACGATTCACAATTAATCATCATGAGAACTGAGAAGATTTAGATGAGTTTACAAAATGTAAAAATACCTTTAGAAAGCTTTAGGAGATTCATATACAAAACTGGAAATAAGGTACTCATTATTGTTCATGGTAAAAATAAAATTAAAACAATCTCTAGATAGTGGTTTAGTCAGAGATTGTATTTTGCATCTCTGTAAAGTGATCAAGCAGTACAAATTATGAATTATTTTGTAATTCTATAAAACAAAGATATAGTTTGTAAAGAATGAATCAAGAAATGTTTAAATCAAAATTTATGTTTTAGGAATATTTGTATTAATAATGCATTGCAGTTTCTATAGCTTGCTCTAAACACTTCTAGTAAAGGAGTGGTAAACATTTTGGAGCTTTATTTATAAAAAATTCATGCTGTGCTTCAGATTGTTTTGTTGTGCCTTTGAAGTCTTGTACTGTATCTTTTCAGATTACAGTTGGCAAATAGATCAAAGCAATCTACACCAAATGTATGTGTGCCAGGGCAGTACTGTTTATTAAATTGTGTAGTGACATATTGGGCATTTAAAGTCTTAAATGCCTAGAATGTAACAAGGTGGATTATGAATAGCTTCGGTTACACTGACATGTTCTACTCCCTGCATACCTGTCAAGGAACTGACAGCATATTTTTTTGTTAGATATAGTTATTTGTTTAGCTATAAACATGGTGAGAATATGTAGCAAATTACAGAAATTATGCAGTAAGTGTATATCATTTTAGGTATTTCTGTTTGCCAACCAGTATTTCATCCTGAAAGAGTCTTTCAACATTGGAAACACCAATGGAAGAAATGAATGAAAAAAATTTTTAAATGGATAACAATCTTAATTTAAATACTTTGTTCTTCAGATTTATTTACAGTGTGGAACTGCCAGAGAAGGACAGTATAGTCTCCTATTTGTAAGCAGGTACTTACTAGTCAAGATGTTAGGAGTTGGACTCCTCCTTGCCTGTAGTTACCTCGCTTGCAAGCACAAAGTCTGTAGAAGATCCTACAGTTAAGTACAGATATGCAAGGTACCATATGTATTTATTCACATATCCATTGAAACTTTAACTAATTCTAGTCCTTTTTGTGATTTAATCCTCAAGGATTAGATCTCAGTGACATTCAGACCACTTGACTATAACAACTCCCCGCTTGAATAAACAGTGACTGTTAGAGGTAGTCACAAAGATTCCCTTTTAAGATTGTCTTAGCATTATTTCTCTCTTCCTTGTGATTACAAAATCTTGGACCACTATTCTTGTGCAAGCACCATTCCAATGGCACTAGAGGTAAATGTATTAACATAGAAAATTGCAAACCTAAGTACCTCTTCGTTAATGCTGCAGTACAGTATGCAATATCTGCTCTTTTTTTGTTTATTTTTTACTTTCTGCTTTAAGCAAGTTCTCTGGGGTAAATCCTTATTTCTGTGAGTCTTCGTGAGCCTAGGGAAGGAAAGGGATTTGTGTCTGAATGGCCATCCTACTTTTCTGCAATAGGTGCTGATGCTAGGAGAGGGGGAATGGAAGAATCCCCAAAGATAAATGGGCTCAGTTGTCTTATTTGTTTAGTATTTGTGCAAGCTTCTGAGTGTCTGCCTCTTTTATTGACTTCTGTATTTCTCTGCTGGGGGCATCCACTGTCTTAAGGACTTGCTCTAGGCCAGGCTTTGTATCAATAACATACTGCTGTGGAAGAAGCTTATTCTGAGTTAGGTTATTCTGTACAAATACCAGCAGGTAAATCCCATATGTGTTAAATGGGATCTAGCAGAATGTCCCTTCTGCCCAGTGTAGGCATAAAATATTGTGGTAGACAGAGGGGACATTTTGTTACCCCATTCATTAGGGCTGACCATGTCCAACTAACTATATTATCACTTCAGTGTCTCACTTAGGAATTCAGTGGGTGTTTCAGAGGCATATTAAAAACCATTATGGTGCCCATTATCATCTCATTTTATATATTTATATAGCTTATGCTACTTCCTTTGACATACTGGTGCCAACCACTTGCTCTAATGATTGTCAGTGTGTGACAATTAAATTGAAGACAAAAGGTGTGTACTGTATTTGTAGCTGTTTTAGGAAATAAAGTCACATTGCACGTGCAATTTGATAACAGCTTTTCTTTTATTTCTTTAATCTGTTTTCCATTTCAATGAAGGGATGGGACTCCTTTTGCACGTAGAGCAAATAGAGAAATAACAAACTGATCTTTGGCATTTCAGTTCTTCCATTCTGATCTTTCATATTTCCTTCTAGCAGAAGCTTATACTAAACAATTAATTCAAAGTTTTCTTTTTCCATTTTAACTACAGCCCACATCTGCAATCAGCATACCCCTCTGGCTACACCTTCTACTGACTGCAAGAGGGAAGAGGGTTAAGTGGCTCTGCAGAGCTTTCATTTGCAGTTGTGCCCTAAATGAAACAATCTGGATGGAACCATTAATCACTGATGAATGTGTCCAATGAATCTCTCTACCACCCCCCTTCACATACGTACACATACACACACACACGCACGCACCCACCCACCCACCCCTTACTAACAGGCGGCAGAGTTGCCTATGAAAAAGCACATTGTTAAAATTAAATAATTGCATTTCAAATTGTGTGTGTCTGCTGCCGATGCAGCTCATTACGTTTAGTTGACAGTTTTGTAGGGGCTTCAAAAGTTAAGAATAATTTTTGCTAGTTACTGAAATGAGTGACTCTATAAGCAGTGTGGATGATGCAACCAGAAAGTGTTATGTTGAATGGCATTATGTTAGCATTGATTTTTTTTTTAATTAAAAAGGAAGCACAAATCATTCCATAAAACTAAAGCACATTGGAGATGCTCTTATTTCTGCCCTCTGAATTACATTCAACTGCTAATTACAGTGCACGATTTAAATTTGAGATGCTTTTCTTCAAAGTGCATTTAACCTTAGCTTCTGTAAAACTGAGCATCCCTGCTGGAGGTTTCAGGAAAACTTCTAATGACAAACCCTGGTTTCTTTAGACAAAAAAAGCAGTCCTATCATTTCCAATATTTTAATGCCATAAATAAAAAAAAAAGATGAAGAAACAAATTCTTTGTTTATGGAGGGGCTCCTGCTTTGTCTTCCTTTGTATCCTGTGCCAACAGAAATTTCTCCATTTTTGTTCAGCTTTGGCTGCATGGACAGATGGCTGATGACAGTTGTTACTTGGTCTAGAAAAATGAAGGAGGACCTGTTTTCAAGCAAGATGGGTACGTGCATGTGTGTGTGCAGTGTGTCAAGTGCTCTGTGGGTTTCTGCTACTGCTGAAGTCTGTTAATGTAGTTGGGGGTGTTCAGTGATTTGGAACTCAATCCAGAGCCAACAGCGGCTGGGTGTTCTCGTTTTCACCCTGCTCTTCATGTTTCAGCGTGCCGGCTTCCACCACAGACTGAGACCTGAAAGCAAGAATATGCACATGCTGACGAAGGCTGCTGCAGAAATAGTAACCTTCCTGGAATCCCTTTGCCTCATTTTCAAATCTTTGCTTTTGCATATTTTCATATTTAAAGAAAATGTTTAGGTATTGCATTTTATTTATTTTATTTATTTATATTTCAGATTGCTCCAAAATATTTGGCGCTTAGCTACTATCAATAATACTGAATGTGCTCAACAACTTAAAGGCCTGATCCTGAGACACCATGAGATCTGCCAGTGTTTAATGTCTTCCTAAAGAAAATTGCTTGTGCGATTGCTTAATGGATTAGTTGCATAAGCAGAGTTATTTTCACAAGTGTTTGTAGGAGTGAGGTTCAGTTCAGGCTTGTAATAAATCTTGAGATTGGCAAGCAGATAAATCACATTTTACTGATGCAGGGGTCTAAGGGGCAGAACTTCCACGAGTGACCCAAGATCAATGAAGAAGCCAGGATTAATATGACAACTAGGGAGTTCTGGGTATGCCCAGTCCTGCAATTTATCTCTTTGTCTATGCCTTTGAAGTAGAACCTTATTCAGGGATAGTCCATTTAAATTCAGTTCTGCCTTCAAGATGAGAAACATAGTTTATCCTTTGCTGCTAATGGACCAAAACAGCAGAGCAAATGAATAAATGCTAGAGAAAGTGGAGTGTCAGGATTTCTCGTGGTAACAAAAGCTGAAGAGGTTTAAACTACTGGGAAAATTCAAGACATTCATTTTAAGAGGTGTACTCCAATGTTTGCTCACCGAGCCACAGAAGGAGGAACTGATGTGTTTATTGTTACAGAGATTCATTAGCCTACTTTTTAGCCTTCTGGGCTAGGAGTTGTCTCCCAGTTAGGAGTGGACAATGAGTTTTAGGGTAAAATCACTGTTTGTGAATCAGGAACTTTTAAAAGCAGAACTTCAAAAATTAAAAAAGGTAGCAGTAGAATCATCCATCCCAGGTATTTGCATATTGCACAGTATAGTTTTAGAGAACCCATTTTCTCATGGGTAGCTTTTAAAATTAGGGTAACTCATTTACCTAAAGTATGTTTGCAGTTACCAGTTCTTCATTATGGTAGCCTCCATTTAAGCCTTAGCTATTTTGTGAGATTAGATATCATTTCTCTTTTGATAAGAATAATTAATATATTGTATCCTTTGGTACTGCAAAACTTGATCAGGAGTTAATACCATGACTGTGAATAACCTTTATGATATTTTCTTCTTATTCTCATGCCTGAAACTTTCATTGAAAGTGAATAAATAAATAAAGATCTCCAAACAGAAATAACAAAAACTGAATGCTTAATAGGAAAGTTTTACACTGCAGTTTTCAAAGAAAAAAAAAAAAAGTGTGTCCCAAACTTTTCACTGTACATTTTTTTCAGTAATGTGATGTGCATAATGTTTATGACTGTATTTTAATATAGAAAGTAGCTGATTCAAGAGATTATGCAAATCAATTTACATATTTCTAGCATATGGTAGAAAAAGCTAATCATGTAGTTTTTAAAAATATACAAAATTAATTCAAATCATAACAACAGTTTGCTTTTTTTTCCTGGATTGTCAAATTAAATAGGACACAATTAACACTTGTTTTGTTTATATCTGACCCATTATACTAAAAGGAATATAAGCAGTCACAGAGTCATCACAGTATTTGGCAACATACAATAGAAAGTTTCTTCTCTAAGCCAAACAGGAAAAATCTCACAGTTGTTGAATGGTGCCTTTTGTGACCACAGCTGATTATCTCTGTGCTCATCTCATCACAGAAATAATTTCCTTGTGTCTATAAGAGCAAGATACTGCTCCCCCCATACTGGTACTCAGATGCCTGCCAGATTAGGAGCCCTGCGGTTCCAAACGCTGCATGCAGATCCCACACTGTTTCCTTTTCATATAGAGCCAAAAAACCTGGCACATCTAGTAAATGCATTACAGCCCAACTGACCCCCCGATTCAAGACACTGATAGATTGAAATGCTATGTCCCGCCCTCCTGGATAATATGAAGACAGATCCAACTGAAGCATTAGTATTTGCCCAGTTCTGCAGCAGCAGTAATCTCTCTCTCTTCTTTTTGTCCCTAGAAGCTGCTTTGCCCTCTGTCCTAAAATAGAGGGTTCAAACCTCTCTCTTGGGCTTTCTAATACTTAAATTCAGCTTAACCCAAAGGGAACAGTAATGATTTAAGCAATCATCACTACTTTTTTGATCTTGACGATATCACTAAGGCACCACCACAACAAAGGAACTGCTGTTACGTTTATATTTCTACTGTCCAAGTGCGCCAGTATTTCATTTGCTGAAAAATGTTTCCAAAATTTTTTACACTTAAATTTTAGGGATAAAAAAATGAAAATTACTTGATTCCCTACAAGATTCTAAAATACTTTTTCAAGTACCTAAATTATGGTAAATATTAAAAATGTAGATGCTCAGAAAAGTATGTTAACAATATATATCAATGCAGTGTACAGTCTTATGTAACAAGTTAGGATGAGAGACCTAGAAAAAACTGGAATATATATTCTATAGCTATGCTTTATTCAATGACAAAGGAAAGATGTGATTGGCAGTAGGCTGCCTTTGTACAAAGCATTAACTGACCAGTGATTATATTTTGTGACTGTGAAAATTAATACAAGACAAATACCAATTTAGAAAAAAAATGAATCCTATACACTGGTTTCCTGTTGTTTTCATGTAGCTAGCACATGTATCCAATCCAAGAAGAACACCACTGCTTTAGGTAAGCTCTAGGTCACACAATATTTAGGCATTTTGTATCCTGACTAGAGTATTAAAGCTAGGGCTAAGGCTAGTTTTCTATTTTAAAAGTACTGCTACCTGTTTGAACTGCATTAACATTTTCTTCAGAGAACTTTAGAATCAATTTTCAAAATTTTAAGTAGAATTTGATCATGTAGGTTCCCAAATTCTTCAAAAGGTATCTAGATATCTATTTCCCCTCGAATGTCCTATTGAAAAATAAAGTCAGGTACCACAGTGCAGGTACCAAAGTGCCTCTGCCCAGCTAGGTCCATGTAATTTGCAATCCTCTTTTCATTAAAAAACACTTGTACAACGGTTTAAGCTACTTTGATGTATCATGGTAAATGAGCAGTACAGAACTTTTCATTTTCAACAAGCTGGGTTTAAGCTAAAGCCCTGTAAATGCTAAGGATACTGCTCTGTCAGTATCATACTGCAAAAAAAAAAGTTCATGACACCAGAAAAAGCATTTTTTTGCTGCCTTTCAGTATCAATGTGAGTAAATGCTTGATGGGAGGGAGTAAAGACAAGACAGCCAGACTCTTCTCTGTGTTATCCAGTCAAAGCACAAGAGGCATTTGGCACAAATTGAAATATAGGAAATTCCATTTAAACAAAAGGAAAAAAAAATTACTATAGGGATAGTCAAACATTGGAAGAGGTTACCCAGAGAGGCTGAGGGCTCTCTGTCCTTGGAGATTTTCAAAACTCAGCTGGAGATACAGTCCTGGGCAGCCTGCTCTCAGTAACCCTGCTGGAGCAGAGGGCTGGACCAGATGACCCCAGAGGCACCTGCCAGCCTCCACGATTCTGCAACCAGTCAAGACTCCTGTCTTTCACAGAAGTACCAGCTGCTCTGCACCATCCCATTCATTGTTTCTATCTATCTCCTGACAGGGAAATGGTTTTCTTTCCAAGCTTGTTACGCCTGTGGCCTATCCAGTGTAACTATAATTAAGGGTGCCAACTTTAACAGTGTAGATGAGATACAGTTGCTACATATAGATACTTACTGCCATTTGAGGCACCTTAGAGTATCCAAGACATCCTTCTATGGCTGGCATTTATGACCCAGGACTTCACAGAAGAACTAGCAGATAGAGGTCAAGAGGACATCACAGTGCCTAAAATAACATCAGGTGCCTCTATTTAGGTAACAGAACCCTACCCGGTGCCTTTGTTTCTGCAGGATGAATGTAACCAGTTTGCCATGTTCAAGCCGTGTTCAGGTGACCTGGGCCAGAGATGAACTAATTATCTAAATAGCACACATTAATTGCATTAGCCTTCTCAGATCACT